CTGGGGCTTCTCTGAGGAGGGGTGTGGTTGTTGGGTGATGCTCTCAGGCACAGAGGTCTCTATATTCACCTCAGTTATTTGCATATTCATGAAGGATGATAGTTATTAGCCCAGTTCCTGACCCAGTATGAGAAAGAGCAAATAGACGACACATGGACGACACAATCGTAGAAGCTGAGGGTTCAATCCATAATCCTGTTAGAAGCCATGTGTCCCCAACACATCCCTGAACTCTGTGTTGACAGAGCTTCCCAGACTTGGGAACAGGCTCCCACAGGACATGCACCTCACTTTGAACCCAGATTTGCGTGTCTCAGGGGCAACTTGAACCATTTCTAGACCTTGATATGTGAATGTGTTATTTTGGGAATGAGTGTGTTACTCCAAAGTGGAACTTATAAATAAGAATCTCTTCCTGACCTCCAGGTGCTTACTGTTAGGCTATTCCCCATTGTAAAAGTGGGTCTCATTACAACATCCAGTTTGACAAATATTCACAATTGAACAGGATATTTATGTGAACATCAGCAGTCCTTGTGAAATACTTATTTTAGATATTTTTAAAGGAAGTCCCAGGACCTGAGAGGAAACCATCCCCAGCCTCTGGTGCACCTGCTCTGGGGCAGGAGCCTGTGCTGGGTGTGTCCTGAGCGCCCCCTGCAGCCCAGCTCTCATTCTGCAAGCAGGTGACACAGTATATTCCTGCCAGTGTCTCTAGCCCAGTATAAAGTGTCTGTGCCCAGGCCCAGAATTCTCCTGTAGTGACACCATATGCTGCACACACCATCTTTTGAAATACTGAATTGGCCTCAGGAAACCCAGAAAAGACTGCAGGGTAACCCTAAGAAAAGATCTCATGCATCCCCAGGGAGACCTTTCCTAGAGCTCAAGAGGCACTGAATCACTGGACACATGGTGAATCTAGAAGAGAGTCTTATTTCCTTTAGGATCCTGCAGTTGATTCTTACACCTGAGAATGCCTACAAGTGCAGGTGCACACACACACACACACACACACACACACACACACACGTTGTAGCTGATTTTTATGTTAATTGGTCCCATGTTTTTCCTATGGAGGTGTTTGAGATCCTGGTATGTTCTCATTATTAATCCTTTGCTAGATGGGTAGTAATGTCTTTTTACTTCACACTGTGAGAGACATGATGTCACCATTCACAGGTGCATTCCTGGATATACACACAATGTCGATGGAAAAGAGTCATTTGGCAATGTTGCCTTAGACAGCCTCTGCCTGATGTCTCTGAGAGTCTGTATTTCTTAAAATAACAACGGGATGTTATTCTGTGCTCATTACTGGCATAGTATCACTGTTTTGTGTCAAAAATGGATCCACAGTCTAATGCAGTTATATTTGTTCCTATTTTGAGGGGCAGTTTTTGAGGTTTATTCATGACCCAGAATGTTTTATTTTCTTTTGGAGAAAATGGGCCTAGCAGTATTTTCAGGCTGGCCACGAAATCCTGGGCTCAAGTGATCTTCCCACATTAACATCCTGACTAGTTGAAAATATAGGCACATGGCACAGTGTCCAGCTGATTATTCTTAAATTACGCTATTTCTCATTCTGCTAAACCAAGTGTTTATTGCTCTCATGGAGCTGTCAGCTTTTCATTACTTACTTAAAATAAAAATATATCATGTGCATAAGGAGAACTTTAAGGTAGAAATGATTCACATTTGACTGCAAATAAAGTCACACAATGTAGAGAGTTCTGTATCTCTGCTTTTATGCCCTGCCCCTTTAACTATAAAAACATAACAGCCTATGCCATGGTGCACACAAAGTTATTCATGATTCTCAGTGTGACACTCCTGCTTCAAGAGCACAACACTGTATGTGAATAGTGGACCCATATAGTCTCACTGTGCCTCTCGCAGGAAGCTCCCAGTGAGCAGGGTGGAGAATCAATGGGGTCTCTGTGTTTTTGGCCTATAATGCATGTCATGGAAACTCTATTTTTTAAGTGAAGCTGGGAGGAGATAAACATCCATCACATCACAGATTGTAAGTTATTCTCCACCGTAGAGATCTGACACCATGGCCTCAACTGAGATATGGGGGAGAGGAAGCACCATGTTCTTGTCAGATCAGCTCAAGGGCAAGACTCTGTCATCCTGAGCTGAAAATGAGAGAGTAATGCTCATCTCTTAAGTATAGTGAACCCTCACTGCCCTTCCTGAGACCTCATGAATGTTTTAGTCTGTTTCAGCTGCTATAAGAGAACTCAACAAATGGGCAGCTCAGAAATAACATCAACATGTATTTCTGAATTCCCAAGGCTAAAAAGTTACAGATCAAGATGGTTTTGAGATTGGTATCTGGTGAAGACCCAATTAATGATTCATAGAGGATCATCATCCTACTGTGTCCTCAGAGCCGGAAAACTCTGGATTTGCACATGGGGGCACTAATCTTACTTATAAAGATGGCACCTCAACACCTCCCAAAAACACCTATTCACTTACCAAAAGCCCCACCTCCTAACACCCTCATGTTGGGTTTATTCCAACATCGATACTGTGGGGTTAATAAACATTCAATCTATAGCAGCATGTTTTATCGATCAATAACTTTCATTTACTGTGTTTTCTTAGAATAATTTGCATTGATGTTTAATGGCTGAAATTTCCATTTATTTTTACCAGATGTGGTTGTTTCAATGGAAAGCGTGGGGCTTCCTACACCATCACTCCTGTAATTAGATAACTCTATTCATCCTGTCTTTAAAGTTTCTTTAGTAGGTCCATAAGTATTTTAAATATTTTTCTGCTAAGCCGACTGCCAAGATGGAGTTGATTTGTTCACCCTCTTTGATGGTATCACTGTTTGGAAATACACATTTCTAGCGATTAATGCAGTTTATTTGGCTTCATCCAGATATATTTCTGTACATGTTAAACTAGGCAATTATTTCATATATTTTTCCATAGTCTTACACATTGAGAAAAGCCCCTCTAATGAAGTGTGTTCTCATGTACAACTTGCCCTGGTTCCCACACACAGGTCTACACTCTACAAAGCCGGGGTCACCCTCCTGCCATCTGTGGGGCTCACTCTCTGAACAGTGTTCTGCAATCCTCTGTGTATTCTGGGTCTCCTACACATCCTGGCCTGAGATCTCAGCTCCTTTTCCTCAGCTTCAGATATACCTGCTCCTACCTGAGCACTGTGCCTGGAAACTCTCTCAAGAAGGTGACCATGCATTCATCAGCGGGCTCCGTTTTATGCTTTCTCTCTTTCAACAATCACTGTCCTTATTACTTGATGTCAAACATTTTAAAATCATCTTTAAGAAATGTCACTGTTTTACATCCAGTGGAAAGATATATCTTGTTTCTGTTGTACAGTTTGTTTGAAATCATTTTGCAAATACATATTAGAATCAATTTTATAATGTTTGCCAATATTTATGTATATGTGTGTGTATAATACCCACGAAAATTGCAACTCTGTTCCAGGGTGTCCTGCACAATGATGAAATAATCCTGCAGAACTACCTGGAACAGACGAAAGTGAAAATCACAATTCTTTGCAGTCTGCACACATTTTCATAGGCCGTCCAATAAATTAAGAAAAACGTGCGTCCTGTATAAAAATCCGCAGCGTGTTAGCTCTGACAATGCACCTTTCTCCCTGCACCTACAGGCAGAGCTATGTACCTGGATCATGCATCTGGCTGCTGCTCTCCGATGTGCATGACATGGCTCATGCCGAAGCCCATGTCCTGTGCTCCATTCTCAGGAACAGAGTGAGCTCTGCACTCTTCTGAGCCAGAACCCCTGCTGGGGGTCTTGGGGGTTTCCTGAGGGGCAGCTTTGACTTTCAGAAGACTCAGTGATATTCCGGACTTTCTTCAGTACTGAAGTATAGGAAATTTCGACCCAATCCTCCCTCCATCTCTCCTTCACTCAGGGACAGGCTTCCATCTTATGCCATCAGCTTCCCCAGCCTCATTTGCCCTCCACACATTTTCCCTCAAAAGAATTGATGCCCTTCTTCCACAAACGCATGCAAACTTAAACAACTCCTGGAGATTTCTGCTCTAAAGAACAATAATGCCACATATAGTTCAGCAAAATTATTATAACATGAGTCTGATCCTATTATCAAATTTAAAATATTAAGTATTAATATTAATATTGCATTGATTAATGTTAGTATTAAAATATTAATCAGTGTAAAATATAAAATATTAATCATGGTAATAATCGGTTTTGAGTGTCACCTGGACTGGAACATAATGTCAGTCATTCAATCAAACACGGATTCAGGTGTTGCTCTGACGGGACGCTACAGGCGTTATTAAAGCCTGCCATCACTTTTCTGCAGGTCAGGAAGATTTTGGTTGGTCTGATTTAATCCCAGCATAAGGGACGATAATGGAACCCTATGACTTGGCTGTGGAACTTCTCAGGAATTCCAGCCTGTCTTTTCTGATGGTCGGCTCCATTGTCTTTGGCTGTGCCTAGCCAGAGCTCACAACTGCTGTCACACAGAGCACACAGCACAACAAAGTGTCTATCCTCAGCTCTCTCTTGAGTCACAGGTGAGGGGGGCTCTGCGACAGGGTGAGAAGCGCAGGATCAGCTCTTCATCTATATCCCATTTGAAGAAATGACTATCAGTGTCCACTTGCATTTCCTAAATGCGTCCATGCATAGAAGACGTCAGGGGCTTCAAGGCAATGGGGTATACGAAAGACCTCTCAGCCTTCCAGGTTCTGCACGAGCCACAGCCTGAGCCACCCCGATTTCCAGGTAATGTGTCTGAGACCTGCGGTTTAGACCACAGGAAATGAAGCCTGGAAAAAAGAAAAGGGGAGCAGCAGAGAAAGGGACAGATGGACTAGTCCTGAGGCAGACGTTCAGCTTTAAAGGACAGTGAGGTTCCTCTGAAAAATGTCAGGGTTGTAAGGACCCTGGGCCTGGATGAGCCTCCCTCTTGGTCCCAATCTGAATCCCGAAGTGTGTTCCAATCAGGGATTCCCACGGAGATGTCTGCCCTGACTCCGAGTGGAAAACTCTTCCCAGCTTCTCCTGGGCTTCTTCGGGACTCTGATTCTGGTGGCCAGGGGAGGGCCATTTCTGTACACAGGGTTACCCTCGGGCTTCTGTGGAGGTGAGGATGTGTCCTCCTGCTAAAATAAACACCGGGGGGAAAGGTTTCACATTCAGAGACATTAAATGTTAGTACAGAATCATAAATCTGAAAGGTTCTCTGAGGAATCCTAATGAGGAGTCAGCCCCAGACCCTGACATGAAGCCAGCCCTCAGCAGCACCTGCACCTGCAGCCCCGTGCACAGCGCCCGGGGCCCCCCCGGTGGTCGCGGGGTCCCCTGCAGGAGGTTTGTGTCCGGGCTCACACTGACTTCCCCTCACTGTGTCTCGCACAGTAATACACGGCCGTGTCCTCGGCTCTCAGGCTGTTCATCTGCAGATACAGCGAGTTCTTGGCGTTGTCTCTGGAGATGGTGAATCGGCCCTTCACGGAGTCTGCGTAGTATGTGCTACCGCCATCATATCTAATGTATGAAACCCACTCCAGCCCCTTCCCTGGAGCCTGGCGGACCCAATTCATGCTATAGCTGCTGAAGGTGAATCCAGAGGCTGCACAGGAGAGTCTCAGGGACCCCCCGGGCTGAACCAAGCCTCCCCCAGACTCCACCAGCTGCACCTCACACTGGACACCTGCAAACACAGAGGCACCCTGGTCAGAAAGTGCCACAAATATCCACCGTTTATCTCACTCTTATCACTCACACTCAATTTCAATAGTTCTCCACTTTTAAAATAGCAACAAGGAAAACCCAGCTCAGCTCAGTCTTCATGGTGAGTGCCCTGTGTGCCTCCTGCTCAGCAAGCAGAAGCACCTGGGAATCCTGGGCTGGGCTCCTCTCCCAGAGCTGCAGGGTCAGGGCTGCGCTGATTTTCATCAGCAGAGGGAGGGCCCTATTTGCATGTCTCCAGCTATATAGCAAGCTGAGGGGTGAGACACGTAAAGAGCAAGCAGGAACCGGAGCAGATGAGGGTGTCCTGAGGAAAACTGGTGACAACACCTGGGTTTGAGAAAATGTGCTTATTATTAAATTGTACTATGATAGAAACTTTGCACTGATCACCTTATTTCAGTTTTATCTATGCGTGTAAATTATGTTCCCCAGGAGTCGATGTTCTCTATTTACAGATGTGAAAGTCAGCCCACACATGGATGGGCTCCGTAGGTATCTCAGGGTTCATGTCTGGGATGAGCGAGTGCTGGTATCTGGGCCTGCGCTCGGCCCTGACTCCTCCCTTAGCCAACTCCAGGGCAGAGCTGCACATGCCTAGTGTGGTTTGCAGAAGCCACTGCTGGATCAGAATAGATGTGATTTTGCTGTATTCTCCTGTTTACCTAAAACTATGGAGAGAACTAGGGTTCAGATAGATCTCTGACAATGAACATACTGGCATCTATCTTTCTGCCACTCCTGTATTGTCTGATACTCAACTTGTTTCATTGTTATAAATTTTGTTAGGGTTTGATTGACAGATTATACACTTTACAGACTTAAAGTATAAAATTGATAATCATGACATAACTATTACCATTATCAAGAAAGTGGACAAGTTAAATTACCTCAAATTTTCTTCTGTCCTTCTACATTTTCTTATCCTTTCTCTTTTCCTTCTTCCAACATATTCACAGACAACTACTAATCTTTTTTTTTTTTTTTTTTTTGCTTTTTTTTATACTTTAAGTTCTGTGGTACATGTACAGATTACGGCGGATTGCTAAGTGTACACATACCACAATAGTTTGCTGCATCCATCCCCCCATCATCTACATTAGTTATTTCTCCTGATATTATTCCCTCCCCAATCCCTCCACCTCCTGTTTCCCCACCCCCCAGTCCCCCCATCCCCTCCCTGTGTCCAGATGTTCTCATTGTTCAACACTCATTTATGAGTGAGGAAATGCAGTGTTTGGTTTTCTGTTCTTGCGTCAGTTTGCTAACAATGATTGTTTCAAGTTTCATCCCTGTCCCTGCAAAGGACATGAACTCATTCTTTTTTATGGGTGCATAGTATTCCGTGTTGTGTATGTGCCACATTTTCTTTATTCAGCCTATCATTGATGGGCATTTAGGTTGGTTCCAAGTCTTTGCTATTGTCAAAAGTGTCGCAATGAACATACATATGCATGTGTCTTTATAATAGAATGATTTATAATCCTTTGGATATATACCCAGTAATGGCATTGCTGGGTCAAATAGTATTTCTTTGAGGAATTGCCACACTCTCTTCCACAATGTTTGAACTAATATACACTCCCACCAACAGTGTAAAGGTGTTCCTATTTCTACACATCCTCTCCAGCATCTGTTGTCTCCTGGTTTTTAATGATCGCCATTCTAACTGGTGTGAGATGGTATCTCAATGTGGTTTTGATTTGCATTTCTCTAATAACCAGTGATGATGATCATTTTTTCATATGTTTCTTGGTCTCATAGTTGTCTTCTTTTGTAACGTGTCTGTTCATATCCTTTGCCCACTTTTGAATGGGCTTGTTTTTTTTCTGTAAATCTGTTTTAGTTCTTTGTAGATTCTGGATATCAGCCCTTTGTCAGATAGGTAGATTGCAAAAATCTTTCCCATTTTTTGGGTTGCTGCTTCCCTCTAATGATTGTTTCCTTTGCTATACAGAAACTCTGGAGTTTAATTAGATCCCATTTGTCTATTTTGGCTTTTGTTGCCATTGCTTTTGGTGTTTATACTCCTACCAGACCCACACAATGAACCTGGTAACTCGTTTGGAATTGTGGAGACCACTCGGTTTCTGCACCTCTCTTGCTGGGAGCTGCTTTCTGGAGCTGCCTTTTATTCAGCCATCTTGGGATCGACCATTCTTTTTCTTTATAATTGGAACAGTCACAAAAATCTTCCCTTCCCAAAGTGTCTGTCTGAAAGAATATGAGAGACCACACTTCTGATATGTGTCCAAGCCCAACTGTCTTGTCTTATCCCCACTATAGAACAAAGAAATTACTCCATGAGGGAGAACCACCAACACACGTACCCTAAAGGCACTGCTGCAACCTATTAGGAATGGAGATGGGAACAGAGTTCCCCACCAAAATTGTACTGGGATGCAGTTCCCCTGTTTCTTATGGGATCAGAGCCTTAGTCTGCAGGGCAGGGCAGTAGATCTGGAAGGTGATGACACAGGTGGAGAACACTAGAGCTGTGGAGGAAACACCTTGGGGAAACAGGGAGACTCTTACCCCAGGGGAAGTGGCAAGAAAACACAGACCAGCATGTCATCTAGAGAAGGGTCAGGAACAATCGCAAGCTCAGGCCCTGACACGGGGTCACAAAGCCTTCTTAAGAATATGGACCAAGGTATATGGACCTAGGGATATAGAGCCTTTAGTCTAATGCCTTGCACTGATTTAGAAATTGTCGGTAAATAAAACAGGTGCATGAACCTGAGGGAGCTGAAAGAGATTGTCTGGAGGACAGAACAAGGTGAAGAGACAAAGTCAGGTAGAAAAGACAAGGAAGATGCCATTGAAGATCTGTAGTCTCTGGTAGACGTAGAGTAACAGACTTCAATTAGTTTTGAAAATTTTATGTCAGTCTTTAGTAATTTTATGTGATAAAACAGTCAGCCTCATCAATGGAATTCTTTTATGCCCATAACAGATGAGTATCTATGTGGCATGTGGTGAAGTTCTAGTCATGAGGACAGGGGAGATGGTCTGTTGAGGCTTCAGAGGAGAGTTGCAAACATGTCTCTTCCCCACATCCAGCCAATATTTAATACATGTGTGTGACCCCTGGGAATGCTGTCACCATTCAGTGCATGATGGGAGTCCCCTGGGAAGTGAAGCTGACTTCTGGATATATCAGTGTGGAAAATTGAGAAATGAAACTGCCTGGGCACATGAGCTGTCAAATTATTCAATCCCGGAGGCTCTCACATCAAGCTTCTTGGATTGGCATAGTGGGCTGATACTGTCTACAGCCTCGCCCGGCCTCCTATGCACTTTTCTGCCTCCTGCCTCTTCCCCAGACTCCACCACCTGCACCTCAGCCTAGACACCTACAAACATAGAGACATTTTGGTAAGAAACTGTTGCATATAATCATGTTCTTTACTCATATCCACTCACACTCAACATCTCTAGTTCTCCATTATTTGCATTTTAAAATAGCAACAAGGAAAACCCAGCTCAGCCCTAACTCTATGGTGAGCCATCTGTGTGAGCTGATCATCAAATCAAAATTCCTGGTAATTCTGACTGGGGCTCTTCTCCGGAGCTGTAGGGTCAGGGCTGGGCTGGTTTTCATCAGTAGGGGAAAGGTCCTATCTGTGTCTCATCCTCTGTAGCCAACTCTGAGGAGAGAGTGAAGCCCAGAGCAGACGTGAGATTCCTGGAGGAGTGTAGCGGTGATGGCAGCATTCGGGAAACATAATTTCTTATTATGTGAATTTCCCATTAAAATTAATAAGCAATTATTTATTTTACATACTTGTTAAAATAGAAGTGTAACTGTATTGATCAGCTTTAAGAGGTATGAAGGTAGAAATAGAAAACAATAAAAAGGAGGAGACTCCAACACCTCACCCTCAATAATGTATAGAACATCCACAAAACATTCTTAGGAAGCCAGTGGATTTACCCAACGCTATTGAACAAACTGACCCAATAGACATCTATAGAAAATTCCAACCAAGAGCAGCATAATATACATGCATCCCAAGCACAGCACACAATAAATATTCTTTATAATAGGTGTATGTTAGAGAAAAAATGAATTTTAAAATTAAAAAAATAATAATGCCAACTATTCTCTTTTTCAAAAATTGGTGAGGCTCCAACCTTCTCAACTCTCTCTAGAAGGCTACAATAACCATATTACCAGTAATAGACAATGGCGAAAGAAGAAAGTTACACTTCAAATATTCTTAATATACATAAATATACTACTCCCAGTAATAGTCGATTACATTCTATAGGACTTTAGAAAAATCATACACTGACTGGGTGCAGTGAGTCTCACCTGTAATCCCAGCACTTTGGGACGGTGAAGTGATGAACCACCTGAGGTCAGACATTTATGTCCAGCAGGGCCAAAAGGTTAAACCTTGTCTCTACTAAAAATACAAAAATTAGAGAGGTGTGGTGGCATATTACTGTAATCCCAGCTATTTGGGAGGCTGAGGCAGGAGAATCACTTGAGCCCCAAGATTGCACCACTGTCCTCCAGCCTGGGTGATAGAGTAAGACTCCGTCTCAAAAAAAAAAAAAAAAAAAAAAAAAGAGGGAGTTATACACCATAGCAAACTAAAATTTATTTTTGCGATGCACAGATGACTCAGTATCCTCAAGTCAATACATTTGGTGTGCTTAACTAAGATAATAAAGAAAAAAATTTTCATTAACTTCTCACTAGACAGAGAAAATAACATTTAAAAATCAAGATTTCATAATAAAAACTCTAAAAAGTAGGAACAAATGAATATAACCTGTACATGATAAAGGTCATTTTGAAAAGCCATGTCTGTTATCATACTTAATTAGTAAAATGTTAAAATATTTTGCTAGAGTATCTGTAACAAGGCAAAAATAAACTTGAAGGCATTTTACTTCCAGATTTCAAAAGTAATTACGAAAGTAGAGTAATAAAAACAAGATGGCATAGGCAGAAATATATATTGAGAGTTCAGACATAAACTGATACGGACAATCTGATTTTCAGCATGAGAACCAACAATATACAACGGATAAACCAAAGTCTCTCCCTAAGAGGGTGCTGGTAAAACTGGATTTACACAAGCAAAGAGTTAAGAATTTTAGGTTAGAATAAACACAAAAATTAACTCTAAATGGGCTAAATAGCTAAATGCATAACCTGCAGTTGTACAATTTCCCTCACCCAAAAATAATGTTAACAGAGATTTTCTATATTTCACATTAAAGGCACAGACAACAAGAGCAGATTTGAACAAGTGGATCTTCCAGCAGCCATTAAGACTTCCCACTGATGTCTTCAGCTTCCTCTTTTCTGCCCCTCCCAGCAGACGAGGCTAGTATTCCTGAGGAAATGAGAGGAGGTGGGAGATGAGGCTGTCATTCCTGAAAGAATGGACAGAGCTTTGGAGCTTTTCTTTCTTCTATCTCGATCCTTACAAAAAAAGGTAGAGATAATATTAGGAAGCACAGAATTCTAAATTTAGAGAATTCACTAGAGAAACTGTCAGAAGATGAAGTCCCACATCCTGACGGGAAATCAGCCTCCATCTGCACCTGCCTCTGGGGTTGACGCTGATCAGTGGCTCCCGAGCGCCCCCCGCAGCTCATTCCCCCGAGTGTTCGTGCAGGAGGTTTGTGTCCCGGCTCACACTGACTTCCCCTCACTGTGTCTCTCGCACAGTAATACACGGCCGTGTCCTCAGCTCTCAGGCTGTTCATCTGCAGATACAGCGAGTTCTTGGCGTTGTCTCTGGAGATGGTGAATCGGCCCTTCACGGAGTCTGCGTAGTATGTGCTACCACCACTGCCACTACTAATGAGTGAGACCCACTCCAGACCCTTCCCTGGAGCCTGGCGGACCCAGCTCATCCAGTAGCTACTGAAGGTGAATCCAGAGGCTGCACAGGAGAGTCTCAGGGACCCCCCGGGCTGAACCAAGCCTCCCCCAGACTCCACCAGCTTCACCTCACACTAAAAAGAAACCCTGGTCAGAAAATGCCACAAATATCCACCATTTATCTCACTCTTATCACTTACACTCAATTTCAATAGTTCTCTATGAATTACCTTTTAAAATAGCAACAACGAAAACCCAGCTCAGCACAAACTCCATGGTGAGTTCAGTCGTGATCACCAAATGGAGACACCTGAAAATCCCAGGGCTGGGCTCCTCTCCCAGTGCTGCAGGGTCAGGGCTGGGCTGGTTTTCATCAGCAGAGCGAGGGCTCTATTTGCATGTCTCCTGCTATATAGCAAAATCTGTGGTGAGAGGCGTGAGGAGAGAGCGGGGCTCAGAGCATGGGACAGTGTCCTGGGGGAGATTTGTGACATTGATAGTATTGGGAAATTGTGGTTTCTTATTGGAAGTGTGTTCTGTGATAAACCCTTACAACCTATAAAACTTACATATTTTAATTTCTATTTTAAAACAGTTTTATTGAGGTACAGTAGATCTATATAACCCACATAAAGTTAGCACCTATCATCTTTTATGTTTACATATGCAGAGAAAACATGGTATGTGGTATCAATGTTTTTCCATGTTACAGGTGAAAAATTACCAGGAAAAGCACAGGTGGGTGGCACAATGTCCCCAGAGCTCACATTTGGTCAGAGTGCACCTGTGTACCTGGGCCTTTGCTTCTCACCACTGGACCCACTTCTCCCTGAAACAAGCCCAGCACACAGTGGGTGGCACCTAGTGAGGTTTGCAGAACCTTTTCTCTGTGATGAGAACATGGTGTGATGTGTTCTATATGGTGTGATGTGTACTCACTGCTGTGACTACCTAATAAACGTAAAGAAAAGTGCATTTTCTACAGTTGTATTTTCTCGAGTGTCATACATATTTCATATCGGTGTCTATCTTTCCATCAGTCTTTAACAAATTACCCATCCGCTTATTGGCAATACCCTTATTGAGGCATTATTGTTTTACAATAAATATTGCATAGTTAATGTCTCTGAATAAGCACTGAAGCCGAGCCTGGTGGTGCACACCTGTGGTCCCAGCTACACAGGGAAGCGGGAGGAGGATTGCTGCAGACCCAGGGTCTGAGACTGCAGAGAGCTGTGATCTCACCACTGAGCTCCAGCCTGGATGACAAAGCAAGACCATGACTCCAAAGGAAAACACATCATTTAACACGTGCTCACCTGTACAGCCCATATAACAATCAAGATACCAATGAACTACATTTAAAAGCTTCTGTCTCTTCCTCTGATTCCTGCCTCCCAGTCATTTCCCTCTTATTATACTGAGACAAACTTTCATCTTTGTTACTTTAGATCTATTTTTCAAGATTTGATAAAGTGAAATCTTGTAGCTTCAATTTCATTTCTGTGGCTTCTTCCTCAGCCTAATTACTTGTGAGTCAGTAATTTGGTTGTGTATAAAAAATGTGTTGATCCTAATGAGGAGGAGAATTGCAGTTAATGAGAGCACCATAAAATTTGTGTTATTTCTAGTTTTTAGTATTAAAAATAAAGTTTATACTCAGCATGGAGATATAGACATCCAAGAAAAGTATGTTATTTTTACACTTGAACTTGCTGAGATGCAAATTGGCACGTTTTCTTTAGTACATCAGATTAATGATGTTATAGGACGAACGAGAGACCTTACATCTTGAGAAACTCAGTGATTTACAAAAACAAACAGGAAGAGAATATGACCGTATGTAGGGCAGAAGCCAGCAAATGTCATATAAGATAAAACAAGATTAAACTGGACATTTTCTTTAAATTCTTTAAAATTTAGTGTAGTGAAGTTATTGTTTAAATTCTCAGAGCGCGCACAACTAAGGGATTCCTCCTGCTACTGAAACCTTTTCTGCCAGCATTGAGGATACGTCACAGAAATCTCCACCCTCTACCTCCCGAGATGCTTCTGTGCAGGAAAACGGAACAGCAGCTGTGGCCCCACCACCACTGCATTACCAAAGCTCTTACCTGCAGGGGCAAAGACGCTAACACCTCTGTGTTGCTGGCAGTGGAGGAACTCATAGAAACTGGGATAGAAGAAAGAAAAGCTCCAAAGCTCTGTCCATTCTTTTTGGAATGACAGCCTCATCCCCCACCTCCTCTCATTTCCTCAGGAATAGCAGCCTCGTCTGCTGGGAAGGGCAGAAAACAGAAAGCTGAAGACATCAGTGAAAAGACGTATTGGCTGCTGGAAGATCTGTGAAATAAAACAACCAAGGAGAGACACTCCCCAGGGAAGAAAGGAAGCCACATGGATCAGCATTGCACCTGCAGGAGGGGCAGGGATGCTTGGAAGGACACACCCTGAGCCAGGACTGTGATGTCAGCCTGGAGTATGCCCCCCTCAGAAAAGCAGAGTGCCCGTTCCGTGCATCCCTTCCCACCTCATTGTCAACACTCAGGTCCACGTACCTCTGTCACGACAAAGACAGAGTCTCTCTGTTTAGCACAGGATTAAGGCCCAAAGCCAAGCAGGAAATAAAATTCAGGTGTCACTGGAGGAATCTGAGTGTCTGGTGTCTGCAGAGGAACACACTTCAGTTCTGGCAGCCACTGGGACAATGACTTTCAAATGTATCCCTGATCAGTTTCACACAATTTCCTACAATAAATGCCTAGATAAGATAGGGTGTGATCATCTACAAAAATTGCAAAAATCATAAAACAAATAATTAGAGGTCATAAGGAATCTGAGAGAAGTATCTGGGGAACATTAATTTTGAAATAATTTGCCTAAGTACTTTTAAACATCTGCACTTTATCCCTCAGTTAGTCTATATGTAACTCTGAAAGAAATTGCCAACATTTGTTTAATTTTAGTAATACTTTATTAATGTCATGCTTGTGAATGGATAAAAGACCAGAGAGTAGCTTATCTTAGAAGTATTGATAAAAAGTCCAACTTTGCAAAATATTCTGAGCCAAATGTGAGGACCAGGCCCTGCGACACAGCCCCAGAAGATCCTGAGTAGCTTATAGGAACCTGTCCTAGTCGGGGGTATCGGAAATTATTTGCTGAGGTAACCACATTGAAGTGGAGACTTGAAAGATGCCAGATTCCTCTCTGAAAACATTTTCTCTTGACACTAGAAGTAAACTTAGCAGAAACAAATGTTAGCATTTCTTCTGTGTTCAAAATCGCCACCCATTGGGAAAATAATTAAAATTTAGGGACTTGTCTTTACAAACAAACAGTCCAGTAGATTTCTAAAGTCCTTTCCAAACCCAACGATTCTGATTAGTTTGCAGATTATGCAGAACATCCCACCTAATAGGAATCTGCAGTTAACTGGATTCCCCTGCATTGGGGTTTTGTAATGTTTAATTTATGTAGATACAGAATACTACAAAACCTGTAAGGGGTACATGTGATATTTTGGTAAAAGATTATTATGTGTAGTGATCAAATCTGGATAAACTGGAATATCCTTCAACTCAATAATCGATTATTTCTTTGTGTTAAGAACATTCTAAATCTTGTTTTCTACTTTTTTGAAATATACACTAAAATATTAACTGTAGTTGTCTATGTGCCATTTTAGAATTTCCACCAGGAAGGAGTGTAAGTTCCTGGGAGTTTCTCAGCTTCCTCATCGCCATTTGGTATTTTCTATACTGTGTGTTTTACTCATCCTAATAGGCTAGTAGTATTTTCTGAATCTGTCTCGATTGATAACATGGTTTTGTATTTAGTTTTGCTTATATGATGAATAACATTTACTGATTTGCATATGTTGAACCAACCTTGCATCCCAGGAGCAAAGCCTACATGATCACGGTGGATTAGCTTTTCGATGTGCTGCTGTGTTCAGCTTGTCAGTATTTCATCGCGCATTTTTCCATCAGGAATACTGGCCTAAAGTTATCTTTTCTTATTTTCAATTGAGTCTCTGTCAGGGTTTGTTATCAGATCTCATAGAATAATTCAGGGAGTGGTCCTTCCTCCTCAGGTTTTGGGAATAGTTTCAGTAGGATTGGTGCAACTCTTATTTAAATCTGAAAAAAAAACTGGCTGTGAATCTTTCTGGTCCATGGCTTTTTCTGGTTGCTACCACCTGTCTATCTTGATGTCTGACCCCCACCTGAGCCATTAATAATCACATTGAATTCAGATAAACCTGAATCCAATCCAGTGTTTATTGTAGCTCTTAACAACGTTACTGGCTCACTTAACTTCGGGAACATTTCTTCACCAAAAACAGTTTCACTGCCAATAATATTTAAGAATTTCTGTTGGAAATTTTTCATGTGTTTTAGTGATGAAATTTATTTTAAAACAACGTTGACCTCTCCACATGCATAATGATTATTCCTACTATTGTTGAACGGGCCAGCAACCATCTATTCCTGCTTTTTCCCTCTGCATACCTGACTGTCTGCAAGACCTCCCTGGATCTCAGTTCTAGATGGAAGCTTTAAGAAATGTCGGATTTACTCAATGCTAAAAAAGAAAGTGCTAACGGAAGCTCCTTTTCCCATTGACATGTTAGGCATGTATTCCAGAGTCTGCCTTTATCCCCACATCTGTCCCAGAGCCTCCATTTATGTCACTTCCAATGAATTTTGTGTTATTTTAAACATAATTATAATAGATAAATAATAATTGTAAATGTTCATGAGTCACACAGTGATGTTTTGATACATATAATATATAGGGGCCATATTAGGATAATTAGCATATCCATCATCGCAATCCTTTTCTTTTTATTGAGAATACTAACATACTTCTTCTACCTCTTTGAAACTCCATATTATTGTTAACTATATCTCTCGCACAGTAATACATGGCCGTGTCCTCGGCTGTCAGGCTGTTCATCTGCAGATACAGCGAGTTCTTGGCGTTGTCTCCGGAGATGGTGAATCGGCCCTTCACGGAGTCTGCGTAGTATATGTTACTAATGGCTGAGACCCACTCCAGCCCCTTCCCTGGAGCCTGGCAGACCCAGTGCATGCCATAGCTACTGAAGGTGAATCCAGAGGCCGCGAAGGAGAGTCTCAGGGACCCCCCCAAGCTGAACCAAGCCTCCCCCAGACTCCACCAGCTGCACCTCACACTGGACACCTGCAAACAAGAAGAAACCCTGGTCAGAAAGTTTCATAAATATCCACCATTTATCTCACTCTTATCACTCACACTCAATTTCAATAGTTCTCCATGAATTACCTTTTAAAATAGCAACAAGGAAAACCCAGCTCAGCACAAACTCCATGGTGAGTTCAGTCTCTGTGTTCTGCGCTGATCACCAAATGCAAACACCTGACAATCCCAGGGCTGGGCTCCTCTCCCAGAGCTGCAGGTCAGGGCTGGGCTCGTTTTCATCAGCAGAGGGAGGGCTCTATTTGCATGTCTCCTGCTATATAGCAAGATCTGTAGTGACAGGTCGGGGCTCAGAGCACGGGACAGAGTCCTGGGGGAGATTTGTGACACTGATAGTATTGGAAATTGTGGTTTCTTATTGTAAGTTTGTTCTGTGATAAACCCTTAAAACCCATGAAACCTATATATTTTAATTTCTATTTTAAAACAGTTTTATTGAGGCACAATAAATCTATATAAACCACATATATTTAAAGTTAGCACCAATCATCTTTTAGGTTTACATATGCAGAGAAAACATGTGGTATCAATGTTATTTTCATGTTACAGATGAAAAATTACCAGGAAAAGCACAGGTGGGTTATACAATGTCCCCAGAGCTCACATTTGGTCAGAGTGCACCTGTGTACCTGGGCCTGTGCTTCTCACCACTGGACCTGACTTCTCCTTGAACCAAGCCCAGCACACAGTGGGTGGCACCTAGTGAGGTTTGCAGAACCTTTTCTCTGTAATGAGAACATGATGTGATGTGTACACACTGCTGAAAGCACATTTTCTACAGTTGCATTTTCTTGAGTGTCATACATATTTATATTGGTGTCTATCTTGTCATCAATCTTTAACCAATTACTCATCCGCTTATTGGCAATACCCTTTTGAGGCATTATTGCTGCATAATAAATACTGCATAATGAATGTGTGCAGTTGAATAAGCACTGAAGCCGAGCCTGGTGGTGCACACCTGTGGTCCCAGCTATGCAGGAAGAGGAAGGAGGATTGCTGCAGACCCAGGGTCTGAGGGTGCAGAGAGCTGTGATCTTACCACTGAGCTCCAGCCTGGATGACAAAGCAAGACCATGTCTTCAAAGGAAAACACGTCACTTCACATGTGCTCACCTGTGCAGCCCATATAACCGTCAAGATACCAATGAACTACACTTAAAAGCTTCTGTCTCTTCCCAATTCCTGCCTCCCAGTCATTTCCCTCTTATTGTACTGAGACAAACTTTCATCTTTGTTACTTTGTTAAAGTGAAATCTTGTAGCTTCAATTTTACTTCTGTGGCTTCTTCCTCAGCCTAATTACTTGTGAGTCAGTAATTTGGTTGTGTATTAAAATGTGTTGATCCTAATGAGGAGCAGCATTGCAGTGAATGAGAGCACCCCTATTATTTATTTATAAAGGACCATAACATTTATGTTATTTCTAGATTTTAGTATTAAAAATGAAGTTTATAGTCAGCATGGAGATACAGGCATCCAAGAAAAGTATGTTATTTTACAACCGATTTTACTGAGCTGCAAATTGGCGTGTTTTCTTTAGTACATCAGATTATTGATGTTATAGGACAAACAAGAGGCCTTACATCTTGAGAAACTCAGTGATTAACAAAAACAAACAGGGAGAGAATATGACCGTATGTAGGGCAGAGGCCAGCAAATGTCACATAAGATAAAACAAGATTAAACTGAACATTTTATTTAAATTATTTAAAATTTAGTGTCAGAGCACGCACAACTGAGGGATTCCTCCTGCTACTGAAACCTTTTCTGCCAGGATTGAGGATACGTCACAGAAATCTCCACCCTCTACCTCCCGAGATGCTTCTGTGTGGGAAAACGGAACAGCAGCTGTGGCTGAAATGCATCCAGACCCACCTCCCCTGCCACCACTGCATTACCAAAGCTCTCACCTGCAGGGGCAAAGGCGCTAACACCTCTGTGTTGCTGGCACTGGAGGAACTCATAGAAACTGGAATAGAAGAAAGAAAAGCTCCAAAGCTCTGTCCATTCTCTTAGGAATGACAGCCTCATCTCCCACCTCCTCTCATTTCCTCAGAAATAGCAGCCTCATCTGCTGGGAGGGGCAGAAAAGTGAAAGCTGAAGACATCAGTGGGAAGACTTAGTGGCTGCTGGAAGATCTGAGGAAAAAACAACCAAGGAGAGACTCTCCCCAGGAGAAAGAGGAAGGCACATGGATCAGCATTGCACCTCAGGGATACATGAAGGACACACCCTGAGCCAGGACTGTGATGTCAGCCAGCAGTGTGCCCCCTCAGAAAAGCAGAGAGTGCCCATTCAGTGCATCCCTTCCCAACTCATTTTCAACACTCAGGACCACGTACCTCTTGCATGACCTGGGGGATCTGAAAGGCAGAGTCTCTCTGTTTAGCACAGGATTAAGGCCCAAAGCCAAGCAGGAAATAAAATGAAGATGTCACTGGAGGAATCTGAGTGTCTGGTATCTGCAGAGGAAACACACTTCAGTTCTGGCAGCCACTGGGACAATGACTTTCAAATGTATCCCTGATTAGTTTCACACAATTTTCTACAATAAATGCCTAGATAAGATAGGGTGTGATCATCTACAAAAGTTGCAATAATCATAAAATAAATAATTAGAGGTCACAAGGAATCTGAGAGAAGTATCTGGGGAACATTAATTTTGAAATAATTTGCTTAAGTACTTTTAAAACATTTACGCTTCAGTTAGTCTACATGTAACTCTTTAAGAAATTGCCAGCATGTGTTTAATTTTACTAACACTTTATTAATGTCATGCTTGTGAATGTATAAAAGAACAGAGAGTAGCTCTTCTTAGAAGTATTGATAAAAGTCCAACTTAGCAAAATACTTAGAGAGATTTATTCTGAGCCAAATGTGAGGACCATGACCGGTGACACAGCCCCAGAAGATTCTGAGTAGCTTATAGGAACCTGTCCTTGTCAGGGGTATCGGAAATTATTTGCTGAGGTAACCACATTGAAGTTGAGACTTGAAAGATGCCAGATTCCTCTCTGAAAACCTTTTCTGTTGACACCATAAGTAAACTTAGCAGAAACAAATGTTAGCATTTCTTCTATGTTCAAATTCCCCACACACTGGGAGAATAAACTTTGGGGACTTATCTTTACAAACAAACAGTCTAGTAGATTTCTAAAGTCCTTTACAAACCCAACGATTCTGATTAGTTTGCAGATAACATTCCACATAATAGGAATCTGCAGTTAGCTGGATTCCCCTGCATTGGGGTTTTCTCATGTTTAATTTATGTAGATACAGAATACTACAAAACCTGTAAGGGGTACATGTGATATTTTGATAAAAGTGTATTATGTGTAGTGATCAAATCTGGGTAACTGGAATATCCTTCAGCTCAAGAATCGATTATTTCTTTGTGTTGAGAACATTCTAAATCTTGTTTTCTACTTTTTTAAAATATACACTAAAATATTAACTGTAGTTGTCTATGTGCCATTTCAGAATTTCCACCAGGAAGGAGTGAAAGTTCCTAGGAGTTTCTCAGCTTCCTCATCACCATTTGGTATTTTCTATACTGCGTGTTTTAGTCATCCTAATAGGCTAGTAGTATTTTTTGAATCTGTCTCGATGATAACATGGTTTTTGTATTCAGTTTTGCTTACATGATGAATAACATTTACTGATTTGCATATGTTGAACCAACCTTGCAAAGCCTACTTGATCATGGTGGATTAGCTTTTCAATGTGCTGCTGTGTTCAGTTTGTCAGTATTTCACTGAGCAATTTTGCATTAGAAATAGTGGCCTAAAGTTACCTTTTCTTTTTTTTTAATTGAGTCTCTGTCACGGTGTGTTATCAGAATACTGTTCCCATAGAATAATACAGGCAGTGGTCCTTCCTCCTCAGGTTATGGGAATAGTTTCAGTAGGATTGGCGCAACTCTTATTTAAATCTGAAAAAAATACTGGCTGTGAATCTTTCTGGTTCATGGCTTTTTCTGGTTGTTACCACCTGTCTATCTTGATGTCTGACCCTTACCTAAGCCAGTAGTAATCACATTGAATTCAGATAAAGCTGAATCCAATCCAATGTTTATTGTAGTTCTTAACAACTTTACTGGCTCACTTAACTTCGGGAACATTTCTTCACCAAAAACAGTTTCTCTGCCAATAATATTTAAGAATTTCTGTTGGAAATTTTTTAGTGATGAAATTTATTTTAAAACAACGTTGACCTCTCCACATGCATAAAGATCTTTCTTACTACTGTTGAACGGGCCAGCAACCCTCTATTCCTGCTGCTTCCCTCTGCATACCTGACTGTGTGCAAGACCTCCCCGGACCTCAGTTCTCTATTGTAGAGGGAAGCTTTGAGAAATGTCAGATCTACTCAGTGCTAAAAATAGAAAATGCTAATGGAAGCTCCTTTTCCCATTGACATGTTAGGCATGTATTCCAGTGGCTGCCTTTATCCCCACATCTGTCCCAGAGCCTCCGTTTATGTCACTTCCAATGAATTTTGTGTTATTTTAAACATAATTATAATAGATAATAATTTTAAATGTTCATGAGTCACACAGTGATGTCTTGATACATAAAATATATAAGGGCCAGATTAGGGTAATTAGCATATCCATCATCGCAATCCTTTTCCTTTACTGTTTACTATATTCATCCCACAGTGGTAAATGATACTATAATCTATTCCTCCTACCTAACTGTAATGTTGCATTCTATAACAAATCTCTGCCTATCTCCCCCTTTCCACTACCCTTCCCAGCCTCTAGAATTCTCTGTTCTAGTCTCTACTTCTAACAGACCTTTTTTATTCTTTCTTTCTTTTTTTTTTTTTCTTCCACATATGAGTGAAAAAACAAGGTCTATTACTTTCTGCTCCGGGCTTACTTCATTTAACATAGTGTTTTCCATTTTCACCCTCATTGCCACAAATAACAGGATTTCATTTCTTATGGGTGACTAGTATTCATCATGTATCTGCACCACATTATCTTGAACCATTCATCTCTTCTCCAGCACCAGGTTTGATTTCATATCTTGGCTATTGTGAAAGATCCTGCCATATACATTGGTGTGCAGAAATCTCTGACATAATGATAATGATTTTCATTTTTTTGGGTAAATTTGCACAATGCAGGATCATAAGTTAGTTTCATTTGTAGTTTTCTGAGTTACTACCACACTGCTCTCCATAGTGACTGTACTAATTTACATTCTCCCCAACAATGCATAACAGTTTTTCTCTGAATCCTTACTAGCATTTGTTAGGATTTTTCTTTCTTTTCTGACAACAGCCATCTTAAGTGAGGTGAGATGATATCTCCTATCATTCTGCAGGTTGTTTACTCACCATGTTGATTATTTCTTTTTCTTTGAAGAAGCTCTTTAGTTCAATTAAATTCCATTTGTCTATTTTTGTTTTCCTTGTATTTGAAGTCTTAGTCATATTTTATTTGCCTAGGCCAATGTCCTGAGAATTTTCTCCTACATTTTCTACAAGTACTTTTACAGTTTCTCTTTATAAATTTAAATATTGAATTCACAGTTAATTAACTTTTGTCTGTGCTGAGATGGAAGTCTGGTTTTATTCTTCTACACGTGGCTATCCAATTGAGGGTTGTTTCTCCAGTACCGCACTGTCTTTCTGAGTATATCTGTGTAGTTTGATTTGAAGTCAGGCAATATGGTGCTTCCATCTTTGTTCCTTTTTCTTAGGATTGCTTTTGCTAGTCAGGCTTTTTTTTTTTATTCCATATATATTTTAGGATTTCTTAAAAAACAGGTAATTATATTGGTTACTCGATAAAAATGCATTGCATATGCATATTGTTTTTGGTAGTGTGTTAGTCTATTTTGCATTGCGATAAATCAATACCTGAGACCAAATTATTAACAAAATTAAGAGGCTTATATGGCTTACAGTTCTGCAGGCTCTATGAGAAGCATGGCCCCAGCATCTGCTCCTTGTGAGGGCCTCAGGAAGCTTACAATCCTGGTGGAAGGCAAAGGGGAAGCAGAGTGTGTCACATGGTGAGGGAGGCCCAGAAGAGCGGTAGAGGGTTGGCAGACTGTTTTTAACCAACAGATATCACAGTACACTAATTACCATGGAGTAGATACCAAGCCATTCCTGAAGGATTTCTCCCCATGGTGCAAAAACTCCTAGTGGGCCCCACCTCAAATATTGTAGATTACCATGAGATTTGGAGGGGACAATCATCTAAACTATATCATTTTACTGTTACTTCCTATCATCTCAAGTCCTTCTTAGAATGCAAATCATATTTTAAAAAAACAGTTCTCAAAACCTTAACGTGCTCAACCTCCAGCTGAAAATTCCAAAGTCTCCTCTGAGGCTCAAGGCAATTCCCTCCAGCTGTGAGCTGGCAAAATGTTTTAAAGAGTTATTTACTTTCAAGGTGCAATATTGCCACAGGCATTGGGTAAATATTGTCAATTAAAAAGGAGTACATTGGGTGGGCAAAGGCACGGTGAACAGGCCACTCACACACCTAAAGCCTAGCAGGACAGATATTAATCTTGAAGCTGCAAAACAATCGATCTAGACTTTATGTCCTTCAATCGAGATAGGGGGTCCTAAAAACCTCAGGCATCTCATCCCTACCGCTGGGCAAAGCCCATGTGGCCACTTTCACAGGCCAGAGTAAAGTGCCAGAAATTGTTCCAGGCTAAGAATGCAAGCGGCATCTGTCTCCACCATTCTGGGGTCTTGAGGGTTGTGGCCACATTCCCACAGCTTTACTATGAAATGCCCTAGTGGAGACTCTGAATGGGGGCTCCGACCACATGTTTCCCCGTCTTTGGCACCGCCTTAGTAGACGATGTTTGACGTGGATCCAGCCCTGCAGCAGGTTTCTTCCTGGGCATATAGGATTCCCTACACATCTTGTAAAATCTGGATAGAAATTGCCCAGCCTCTTTTACTCTTGCATTCTGCATATAGGCTAGAATCCAGCTATCGCAACACCATTCACTGAATACAGGAGAAGGTCCTAGTGCTGTCTGGTCTCGCACACACACGTGGGACTCACGGGTGGGCCCAGGTCTTGACAGCCGGTGCCCAGCATGGCGAGGCCTGGGCGGAAGTCGGGCGGGTCATCGAACTTCCGGTCCCGCAGCTCCGGGAAGCTGTTCACCTCCACCTCCAGGTGGCGCTGTGGGCGTTTCCTCTCCTCAGTGTCTTTAGGGAGCGACGTCTTTCTTCCGGGTTTTCATTCTCTCAGTCACCTCGAGCTTCTCAGAGACACAGCTGCGCTCTGACAGGAGCTGAGGTGGGATTTCACTTTGTTTTCGGGGACCTTTCAGCTCCGTCTCCTGTTCTCGGAGCTCCGCCTCCAGCTCCTCCGTCCTCCTTTTGAGCTGCCTGTTCTTCTGCTCCTCCCTGTTGGTGTCCCGGCCTCTTCCCGGCTCCGCGATGGCCGCCGCCTCCTGCAGCGCCGTGGTCCGCGGGGCGTGGCTCTCCTCAGGGGCTGCAGCTGCAGCTTCCGTTCCTGCGCGGTGGCCGCGCTCTGCGTCACGGCGATCTCAGCGCGTCCTTCTCAGACTTCCGGTGCGTGTCCCGCTGCCGCGGCTGAGAGGTCTTTTCATCACCGCCCTCGACACTGGATGCCGCAGCCGCAGATGGGGCTTCACGCCCAGATCACTGGGAACCGTGACTCCAGGTCTCGGTTTTCTCCCGGGCCTTGTCTTTGGGCATCTCGGCAGCTTCCTCCAGCTCCTGGAATTTCTCTGCAAACGTTGTCAGCTGCTGCTCAGAGGAAAACCCCAAACCAAACACCGTGTGGGCTCCGCTGTCGGCCCTGCCCAGACTTCTGTGGCGTTTTGGGGAAGGGCGTATTTGGTGTGATTGTGCTGTTGATGGTCGCCTTGGCCCCGCCCACGCTGACGATCTGACAACGGTTCCCTGTGACGTCATAGAAGGAGGAAACGGTGACCGCTGAGCTCGCAGGATCCGGTTCTTCCTGATGTTGGGGTCGATCTGGAAGCCATGGGCTCAGGCGAGAATGGGCTGTTGTGTCTCCGGCGCCATCAGACCAGGCGTCTCACGCTCTCTCTCCCACGTCTTCATCTGATCCCGGCGTGGAAGATGTGGCAGCTGGCGCTGGGGTCAGCCCGGCACCACCCCATTCCGTGGGGCGCACTGGGTGGCCAGGGCTCTGGAAACAATGATTCTAAGAGATAAATTAAGAGTAATTTCCAATAAGGAGACGTCCTCTATGTCATCTGAGAGAAGCAAGAAACATCATGGTTTCCATATAAAAATGCATGTACGGTGTGTTGGCCCTGGGACTGCACCTCCCTCTTCTCCACCATCAGGGAACGCACTGCGGGGCACACGGCTGATCCCTGATGGGCATCTATAGACCAGGGGGGCTGCTGGCCATGCTGGACTTACTGTGCACCTCGTGGTGGTTGGGGAGCCCCATCGAATTCCCCATTTCCCCTTCTCTGCTTGTGAAACTTGAATCCTGGGCGGACACTGTCCATTGCCTCACCCGGCCTCCTGCACACTTTTCTTTCTCCCTCAGTGGCACCTGCCTTGGGGCATTTGGTCATGGCTCCTATAGTTATAAACTTCACAAACGTAGAAGCCTCAGTAGCAGGGACATAACTGTAAATACACAGACCCTCCCAGGGAACGTTAGATGCAGAGGAAGCCACAGGCCGTGAAGGAGAGCAGCCCTTGACCTGCACCTGCACCTGCCCTGGGCTGCCCGGTCCTCTGTGTATCCCGAGCGCCCCCTGCTGGTTCCAGGCGCCCCTGCAGGAGGTTTGTGTTTGGACTCACACTGACTTCCCCTCACTGTGTCCCGCACAGTAATACATGGCCGTGTCCTCGGCTCTCAGGCTGTTCATCTGCAGATACAGCGAGTTCTTGGCGTTGTCTCTGGAGATGGTGAATCGGCCGTTCACGGAGTCTGCGTAGTATTTTTCACCTCCATCATACTTTATGTTGGCCACCCACTCCAGCCACTTACTCAGAGCCTGGTGGACCCAGTACATCCTGTAGTCACTGAACGTGAATCCAGAAGCTGCACAGGAGAGCAAGCCTCCCCCAGACTCCACCAGCTGCACCTGACACTGGACACCTGCAAACACAGAGACATCCTGGTCAGAAACTGCCACACACACCCACTGTTTCTCTCACTGATGTCCACACACACTCAGTCTCTCTATTTCTCCATGAATTACCTTTTAAAATAGCAACAAGGAAAACCCAGCTCAGCCCAAACTCCATGGTGAGCCTTCTGTGTTAGGGGCTGATCACTGAAGAGAAACACATGGTAATCCCAAGGCTGGGGCTCCTCTCCCAGAGCTGCAGGGTCAGGGCTGGGCTGGTTTTCATCCGGAGAGGGAGGGACCTATTTGCATGTATGTTACTATATAACAAGCTCTGGGGCAGGACGCATGAGGAGAGGGCAGTGCCCAGAGCAGATGAGACTGTCCTGGGGGATTTAGATGACAATGATTGTATTTGGGAAAATGTGCTGTTATGTTACTATATAACAAGCTCTGGGGCAGGACGCATGAGGAGAGGGCAGTGCCCAGAGCAGATGAGACTGTCCTGGGGGATTTAGATGACAATGATTGTATTTGGGAAAATGTGCTGTTTTGTTGTGAAATTGTTCAGATAAACATTTAACAACTATCACATTTTTAATTATGTTTACTTATGTGTACAAATGGGTTATTTAGGAGTCAGTGGTTTCTTCTTCATTTACAGATGGAAAAGTGCACCCCACATGGAGGGGCTACGTGGTGTGTCTACGGGCTCAGGTCTGCCATGAGTGAGTCCCAGTATCTGGGACTATGCTCCTCACAGCTGGCCTCGATTGCTCTTAATCAACTCTAGGACGGAGCTAAATGGGGCCTAGTGTGGTTTGGAGAATTCACTTCCTGCCCTGAGATCCTGTGTGATTTTGCTGCATTTACTGAGAAATGTGGAGACAAAGTTCAGGGCAGATAAATGTTGAGGTTTACCTGACATTTACATGTTTATTTGTTCCTTCCTATCATTCCTTTCTTGTCTATAATTAAAGTTGTTTACTTATAATTAATTTTATTAGTTTTTAATTGACAGATAATAAATACATAAAATAAAATAAATATATAAATAAAATAAAATAAGATTGTGAGCATCTTCTCTACTTTGTAGTCCTAGAGGAAATAAAATTTTCATCGCTGAGTGTAATGTTAGATGTGGGCTTGTTATATGTGGCCTCCATAGTGTTGAGGTATATACCTTTTATGCATTAACTTGTTCAGACTTTTATAATGAGACTGGTGAGTTTTGTCAGAGGCTCTTTCTGCATCTATCGACATGAACATCCAGCTTTCGTCCTTCAGTGTTTTAATTGATCCTCACATGGGTTGTGCAGGCTGAACCTTTATTGCATCGTGGAAGTAACCACAGCTGATCGTGGTGAATCACGTTTTAATGTGCTGTTGAATTTTGTTCCTCATCACTTTGAGAGGTTTTGAAACTCTGTGAATCATGGATATTGGTCTGTAGTTTTATTTACTGGTAGTGTCTTTTCCCTGCTTTTGGACATAGAGCCTTCCAAATAAGTTTAGGTGTATTATTCCACTTTATTTTTTTTGGAAATTTGAATAGAGATCCTAGTTTTTTTTTAAACATTTGATAAATTTAGTAGTGAAATCATCAAGTTCTTGATTTTTCCTTTGCTTTGAGCTGTTTAAAAAAATCAGTGACTCAATCTCTCTCTCTTTTCTCATTGGTTTGTTTCCCCCCACCCCTTTTTTTTTGAGACAGAGTCTCACTCACAGGCTGGAGTGCAGTGGTGTGATCTCAGTTCATTGCAACCTCCGCGTCCTGGGTCAAGTGATTCTCATGCCTCAGTCTCCCATGTAGCTGGAATTACAGGTGAGTGCCACCATGTCCAGCTCATTTTCTGTATTTTTAGTAAAGCAGAGTTTCACTGCATTGGCCAGGCTGATCTCAAACTCCTGACCTCAGGTGATCCACCTGTCTCCCTCTCAAAGTGCTGGGATTACAGGCATAAGCCGCCACACCCAGCCCAGATTTTTTTATTTCTTAATGGTTCAGTTTTTTATAGGTGTATGTTTTTAAAAATTTATCTGTTTATTTTAATTTATCAAATTTTAATGAAAGAAGTCTTTATTATATGCAAAAAGTTGAAATGGCACAAAACGAACTGTTCATTACACATTATTGAGAGGAAACGACAACAAAACAACCAAACAAGATGACGTACTAATAGTTCAAAAAGTGATTAAACGATTCTGGAAATTGAGCAGGAAATAAAAAGGCGGGTGTGAGAGAGGACAGGAGGGAGAAGAGCAAGCCAGCAATGGTTAACTGTAAAATCTTCATGAATTAGTGAAAAAGACTGTCATATTTGACAGCTGCTATTAGGCAGGCTTTTGATGTTAACTGTGTGATACAAGCCATGAACAACCTTCTAGAACACACAGTGGGGAGCTTCTCAGAGAATCCACTAGCAGGAGAGGTCCCCCATCCAGTTGCCATAGGGGCTGGGAACCCTCTCATGCTGTTCTCTGGTTCTCGCTCCTGAGGACACAAACAGCCAGCGATTCCTCCCTGGGGGGGGAATGGAGAGGGCCCTGGGGAGGGCGTCCTCTGGCAGCTCACTCTGCACCTGCCCTGTGGAGGGTTTTAGATGGGCCCAGTGCTGGGTTTCTCACACTGTGTCTCTCGCACAGTAATACATGGCAGCGTCCGAGGCCTTCAGGTCTGCTCCACTGCAGGTGGGCGTGTGCTGCTGGACTTGAATGGCTGAGATGGTGACCTGGCCTTGGAAGGACGGGCTGTCTCTGGTTTCAGAGTCACGAAATCATACTCCCCATCCACTCCAGGCCTTTCCCGGCATCTGTCGCACCCAGCTGATCCAGTTGACAGTAAAGCCAGAAGCCCTACAGCGAGATCTTCAGCGACTCCCCGGGCCTTTTCACCTCTGCTCCAGACTGCACCAGCTGCACCTCAGCACAGACACCTGTGTGGGAGACAGAACGTTTGAATCAGGGACTCCCTGTGCCCTCAAATCCTTCTGCTCTGTGACCTCAAACCCTGGGCAGGACTGACCTTGGAGAACAGCCAGGAGGAGGGCAAGGACGGTGGTTGACCCCATCCTGGAGAGGACAGGAAAGGAAGCCCTGAAGATCCCAGCTGGGCGGTGAGGGAGACGCACTGTGGAGGGGAGCCCGGGTTAAGAGGGGAGCCCCCACTTGAATTTGCATAGTTGACGCCTGGCCTGAAGGGAAGAGTCTACAGGGTTTATAACCCAGAAACGCGATTGCAGACAAAGGCCAACTGCGCCTCCTGGAGAGGCAGAACAAGGTCTCAATAGTTCTTTACACCATCCTCGTGCCCGTCACACTCTTGTCCGTGCTTCTTGAAGAGCCATACCAAGGCCTCCTTTCTTCCCCCCTCTCTGTGACACCGAGAAACGGGCAATCTAGATGAAACTATGCGCATTTAAAAATTAGAAATAAAACCTGAGGAGGCAATGAAGAGAAAATTCAAGGCACATATGCCTGATAACAAGAACATGAAATTACTCTATTCCCTGGCAATTTCCCATGACTGTGACTCTGTCTGGCACACAGTAAGGGCAGAGACCCCCCCAGGCCCTCAACAGTCCTCAGCTTGATTAACTTGTCAGACCCTCACCCATGAAAATCACATTTCCTTTCCTGGTCATTTTGTCTTCTAGATTTTACACTCTGCCAATTCAACATAAATAGGGAGGACTTGTTTGGGTCTCTGAATTGCTGATTGGACCTGAAGGGATTCCCATCGCTACAAACCCACCCCCGGCAGTGCGGTTTTAAGTCCTTTTGTGTCACCCCAGCGCCTTCTTGTCGAGGTTTCTTTCATTCTTTGCCATTTAAATTTTTATGCTACCCCACATTGTGTGGAGGCCCTTAACTCTCCCCTGTGTCTGCAGCATTTTCTTGTGGAACCACGACTTATTTCCTTAGCTTCTTGTGATTCCAAATGGAAAGCCAAGGTGTGACCAGAAACTACGCAGGTTCTAAAATAGCTTGCAAGGTTTATATTCACAGATTTCCACCTGGGGGCAGAAGCAAAAGGCCTTCCTCTTCACCCACAGCACAGGCCACGACCTGTGTAAGGTTGCAGGCAAAGCAATGTACCATCAGCCGCAACTCGAAAACTCCCAGCAGCAGGTGATGCAGATGTGCAGCATTGTCCCCTTCCCTCTGCAGAGCCCACTTTGTATTTCAAGAGGGAAAAGCAACTCATCCTCCGGGCAGAGAAAGGTAACACAATCTGGGATCCAGTGCGCCGGGAAAGCTGTCCCATCCAAAGCATCCCACGGGAGGTTGGGATCACTAACATTCATGTGTGATGTGTACGGTTTCGACTGTGGATTCCAGCCTCCTCCTCCAGACAGCCCCTCCCTTCTGCAGCACAAGACGTCAACAAGATCTGCTGTGTCAGCCACTCGCGGCATCCCATTGGCTAATGTGTTGTTCACTTCCTGATGAGAGTAGCTTAATGATGATTCAATCATATCATAAAACGATGCCAACTTTTCCACACTGTTTTCCCTGTTCTAGGTTTCTAGTGGGTTCGCTCGGCCAGCCCAACCCCTGGCTGCCTTCTGTGTTGGCTACCTGTGTGTTGTGGTGTTTGTTTTTTTTCTGGACCAACGGTAGTCGATTGGTGGTCGGAGGGGAGTCTAGCAGCCTTGGCCTCACAGGGCACAGTGGGCGAGGGCTGGATTGGGCATCTTTGTATTTCATTTTAGCTGTCACAGATATGAGTTTTACGTAAAAAAAAAGTGTCATGTTGTTCTCCTTCCTTATTTTTACCTTTTCCTTATACGGGGATCACCTCCTAGGGAGCGAGTGTCTATCATTTCAAATTTCCATGGATGCCTCTTGTCCTTTCTGCTCCTTACTGGATTGCACACTAGCCATCGTATGCCAGTGACATCAGTAACCATCCAGAGTATTGGATGTCTTTTATGCCACCCTTTCTCATCCGGTTGACATTAAATGAACAGCTCTAGCCATGTGTCCAGTCATCCTCACGGTTCTTTTCTAGGACTTTTTCCACCTCTGAGGTATTGTGCTGAGTGTCCCCAAAACCAGCCTCAGACCGATAATGGCGTAACAAAGGAAGGACCCAGGAAAGCGGTTATATCTCATGGGTACACTTTTTGACGTCCTAGCAGAGGAATCTGAATTTTTAAATGAGCAAGGGCTTCC